TAATCATTAAAACAGATCCTCTTTCACCTCCACAACATTTCATTCACCCATTTAAAACCAAAACAACAAAGAAACTCCACCAGTGACCTTTCATACTTTCCTGGATGCAGGGAGGGAGCCTCACCTTCAGGGATGAAGAGTCTGCACCAGCCAAAAAAAGAGAGAGCCAAGAGAAATGTCTCTCTGAGAGAGACAAGAGGAATGAGAGGAAGGCAGGGGAAGAAGGGGAGTTTAAATGTGACAGAAGCAGCTTGGCCATAAAACCCCAGGTGTTCCAACCTGCCTGGTGGATGAGTCAGAGCCAACAGGCTGGAAAATAACTGTCTGTCTGGGAGTGATGGAGCTCCCACCTTCCACATTTGTGCCTCAAAAAAGAGGAAGGATTTTGTTTTCCAGGCTGCTTGGAAATGATAAAGGAGGTGAAGGAGGTAAAGGGGAGGGGGGGAAATAATAGTCCTGAAAACCTACAGCACTTTCCTGCAGCCCAACATCTGTTTCCATGGGAACAGCAGGAGAGTTTTTTTTGCAGGAATTCCTGCAAATTACACAAATAAGCCCCACGGTCAGGTTGGATTTGCCTCTTTCTCACCTCACTTCAGGCTGAGCCAACTCCACCCGAGGAGCACCGACCCAGTCCTGGCTGGGAAAGGTGTGAGGAGCTGCCCTGAGGAAGAAAACAGGAAAAAAAGCAGCAAAAGTCCCCCCCAGCAGCCCAGTGAGAGGCTTTTCTTTGAGAAGAGATGAGGTGGCTGCAGATAAAGAGGAAAAGCAGGACCTGCCCGGGCATCTCCCTGTGCCAGCAGGCAGAGCTGGGGCTTTGGCACCAGCACTGGAGAGCAGTGCAGGGGACTGGAGAGACACCATCCATCCTCCCCCTGTCATTTCTCCCAGAGATTCGGCGAGCTGACAGTTAATTAACCAGTTCATTAATTAATTCTCCCTCCTGCAGGGCCCTGAGCTGGTTGCAGTGCAGGGAGTCACCTTAACAGGAGCAGACAGGAGCCCAGAGCTCGGGGATCCCTCAATCCCAACCTTTATCCCACGGGGAGAATTCCACCAGCTGCATGTGCCCGTCTGACAAACAGCCAGAGACAGCCCTGCAGACAGGCAGGCACTTGGAAAAGACAGTGCTGGGCAAAAAAAAACCCAAATAAACCCACCCTCCTGCACAGGAAAGCAGCTCCACTCAGCAGAACGAGCTTGGAGATGCTCTGTGTGCTCCTCAGAAGAATAAAGGATAATTCCATGTTTATGCAGAGCTGGAAAAGAGCTGTTTGCCCCCAGGAAGGGGGGTTATGGACACAGCAGGGCTGGGAGCAGCTGAGCCCCAGCCAGGGTTCCCAGAGTGCTGGATCAAAGCAGTTTGCTGGGATCCCAACCTGCAGCTCCTGGGTGTTCCCAGGGTTCCCATCCCAGCTCCTGAGCAGCCCAAGGGGTCAATCCATCCCAGAGCCGGGGCCAAAGTGCCTCTGGGAATGAGCTGGAGGAGCCTCTGAGCGAGGGAAGGGACTTTGAACAGCAGCATTTTGTCCTCCAGGTCTCAAAGGCAGGAGGGTTAATCATTCATGGGCCAGGCAGAGATAAGACACGGGAGCAGGCTGTGTAAAAACTGGATTTTAAAAAAATCCTTTTAAAAGGATGTGAAGGGGGAAAAAAAAAATCAGTGTAGAATTCTGATTTGCTATGAAAAAAATAATATTTTAATAGAGTTTGGTGAGTTAACTCCTGATCCACCTCAAAATTTTTCATTTAAATCGCAGAGAAAGTTGGTTTTCTGTCCTTTGGGGGTTAAATGTTGGTTAAATGTTTTGTGCTTTAAAAAGAAAAACCAAAAAAAAAAAAACCAACTTGAAAACAAAACCCTTGGAGGAGGTAGGTGGTAACGGGATGTCAGTCCATCAGTAATTCCATCCACACTTCCAAGGTGGGAGCTGAGCAAAGCTGGGAAAAGGGGCTGGGGGGGCAAAGGGAAGTGAGACAGTTGAGGAAAAAAAAAAACAAGAAAAAGAGGAAAACCACCAAAGAACAGCAACCAGCCCAAATATTTTCTCTGCTGCCACCCCAGAGGAGTGACAAGTGATTGTCCCTCAGATGCAGAGATGCCACATGTCCCCTTGACACGTGTGTGTCCTCCCCACCAGTGATGTGCCCCTTAAATCCCACCCCTGCTGGAGTTTCACTGCAAGAATGGAAATGCATGTGGGGTTTTCTGCCT